TTCCGTCGCAGAAGTTAAGCGCCTCACAGAACGACTGATGATAATCGTCGTAGCGACCGAGAGGCAGCGCCTACACATCTTGTCCGCCTACGCCCCTCAGACCGGATGTCACGAGGAGGAGAAGGATACCTTCTGGGAACTGCTCGACATCCAACTCAGGCAGATCCCACACGAAGACGACATCATCATCTCGGGCGACCTGAATGGTCATGTAGGGCGGGACAAAAACGGACACCAGTGCCACGGTGGGCACGGCACAGGCGATACGAATGAGAATGGCCAGAGGATCCTGGACTTTGCCGACTCCCATGATATGACCATCACGAATACCTGCTTCATTAGGCGAGAATCTCAACTCCTCACCTACCATAGCAGAAACGGGAGCCACCACACACAGATCGACTACATCATCGTACGACGAAGAGCCGCTAAAAACGTGCTCAACGCCAAGGCGTACCCGTACGAATCGAGCAGTCAGCACAGGCCGCTGATGGCGAAGATCAGGATCAGCAAGCCCAAGACCAGGATTGACAAAAGAAATGCAGACCAGCCACGAATCAAGTGGTGGAACCAGAAGAAGATGGCGGGACCCCTCATCAAACCGGAGCAGTTCCCGCAGATGGTCGACGGGCCACAGGAAGCGTGGTCCATGCTGAAGAGCACTGTTCACACTGCCGGCTGCCAACAGCTTGGTTGCACCAAGCCAGGACGGAGACGCATCGAACGAGATACATGGCTCTGGACACCGGAAGTACAAGATGCCGTACACCTGAAGAAACGGCTCTACAAGGCCTTTCTTCAGGACAAGACCAGCGAGAAGCTCTGCGAATACAAGGCGGCCAAAAAGGCAGCCAAGAAAGCAGTAGCGACAGCCAGAAGCTCCCACTACGATGACATCTACGAGAAGCTGAACACGCGAGAAGGCGAGAATGAGATCTACCGCCTAGCCAACAGCAGACACAGGAAGACCCTGGACATTGACCAGTTTCATGGGATCAACGACGAAAGGGGAAATTTGATCGTCAACCCCAGAGACGCTGCGGAGAGGTGGCGGCAATACTTCGAGAAGATCTCCACCGAGGAGTTCCCACACCCACGAACCCCGCGAGGTGACCCAGTTGAAGGCCCAGTCTCAGGCATTTATGCCAGCGAGGTCGCCGACGCCATCAAGGCCATGAAAAACGGTAAGGCAACAGGACCAGACGACATCCCTGCCTACTTCTGGAAAAAGGCACTACCGGGCTCGGCATTGTGGCTGTGCGAGCTGTTCAACAACATCGTCTCCACGGGAAAAGTGCCACACAACTGGTACCGCAGCACCACTGTTCCGATCTGGAAGGGAAAGGGCAGCCCAGCGGACTGCTCCAACTACAGACCGGTCAGGTTACTGTCACACACTATGAAGATCTTTGAACGCGTCCTTGATAAGCGCATTCGGGACACCGTCGACATCAGCGTCAACCAGGCTGGATTCATCAAGAACTGCGGCACCACCGACGCCATCTTCGGTGTGCGGATGCTGATGGAGGCTCACAGAGAGAAGAAAATCCCGCTCCACACCGCCTTCCTAGACTTGGAAAAGGCCTTCGACCGAGTCCCGCACGATCTCATCTGGTACGCACTGCGAGACCACGGCGTGCCTGAGCTGCTCGTACAATGGGTCCAACTCCTATACAGATGTCACAAAAGCCGTGTAAAAGCGGCAGCTGGGATATCAGAGGAGTTTAATATTACCGTCGGCGTACACCAGGGCTCTGCTCTCTCACCACTGCTGTTCATTCTGGTGATGGACACAATTACACACGACCTGTACACGCCCGCCCCATGGACGCTGCTCTACGCCGATGATGTGTTCCTGGCCAACCTGTGCAAGGCTGAACTAGAGCACCGAGTCCAACAGTGGCACGACCGCCTCGAGCAGTTCGGGCTCCGGCTGAACCTAAAGAAGTCCGAATACCTGACCACTGACAATGAAATGACAGGCTCCATCCACGTGAACGGGCAGGAGCTACCGCGCGCCTCCACCTTCAAGTACCTGGGAACTACTCTTGGGGAAGAAGGCCTACTACAAACTGAGGTGGCAGCCAGGATCAATGCAGCGTGGGGCAAATGGAAGTCCGTCATGGGCGTCCTCTGTGACAAGAAGATGCCGATGCGCCTGAAGGCGAAAATCTATAACTCTGTGGTGCGCCCCGTGGCCATATACGGCGCAGAGTGCTGGCCGACGACCAAAGAAGTCGAAAGCAGACTCCAGATAATGGAGATGCGAATGCTCCGATGGTCGGTAGGCCTCACCCTACTCGATCGCGTCAGGAACGAAGAAGTGCGTAGACGGTTCAACGTCGTGCCCATCCCCACGGTCATGAGGCAGTCCCGGCTACGATGGTTCGGCCACGTGAGCCGCGCCAAGGAAGAATCCATCATCAAATCTGTAATGAAGGTGACTGTCAGAGGAGCGAGACCGCGTGGTAGACCTAAACAACGCTGGATGGACACGATCAAGGCCGATCTAGAGATCGCGAAGGCAGACCCGACACACGTGGCAGACAGAGAGGTGTGGAAGCAGTACTCAAGGACATTAGCGGACCTCGCCCGAGCGCGAGACAAACGCTGAAGAAAAAGAAGAAGAAGAAGATATGGGAAATGTGGGTTATTTTATCATGCCTGATGAACTTCTAAAAAAGCCAGAAAATTTGGGGTTTAAATACAAAAAAAAAATTAAAGATTAAGATTTAACTGAAACCAGAACTTTTCTTGTTGGGATTAATGGAGAGACCACTAGAAGAGACATGAAAGACTATTTTTATATATGATCTGCTATGAGACTACCATATGTACAAAAATGGAAAGACTTTGATATATCCACAAATGGAAGAATACTTGGCAACAATGATAGAACTAGTAGAGAGGCAAGTTTAACAAGTGTTTAGAGAAAATCAACCATTTTATTTGTGACTGGAAATCTCTTATATTCTTTTTGCTGAAAAAAGAAAAAAAATAAACCTGTGACTTATGACTTGGATGGTTAGAAAGGGTAGTTTGTGGAAGAAAGAAATTATGACATAACCTTAGAGTGAAAGGTTGAAATATAACTGTGTTTTAACCGCTGTCAAAAATATTAAAGCAGCTTTTCTTTTGTTTTCTTCTTTTTTATTTTTTCTTATTTTTATTTTTCTTACTTATTCACTATTCTTCTTTCATTTCTTTGTTTCTTTTATAATATATGCATTGCTTTTACCTTACAAAAAATTCTTCAAGAAAAAAAATATGTTAAAAGAGTATAAGTGAAGTAAAAAAAACGATTTGCTTTGGAGACTTTTGAGAATGCTTTGTTATGGTACTTAAAGTTGTCTATTTCCCATCATCGCACTATTAGGAAAAATGCAAAATGCTCCTCATAATCAACTCAATCTTTGCAAGAGTTCTTCCTTTTCCTCTTTAAAAAACATGTTTGTTCATGCTAGTGATGCCAAAGAAGCAACTTTTCAGAATAACTTTTTTATTTTTAAAGTATGATTTTATTAATCTGGTTTAAATATAATGAATTATGTTTCTTTTGATATTTTAATTATTTCTATATAATTAGATTTCCTTGTATATATACCAGCAAACAATAACACATGAAGGGAAAATTTTTAAGTGCAGATTATTTAAAGACTGTAATAGAAGGCTGATGTTCAGATATCAACATCCCTCTAATGGTTTATGATTTCCAGTATTATGATCCCCTTGAACACACATCCTTATTTTTTCCAAATTATTTTGAGAATAAACAAAACACTCCTAAGCCACTATTTTTGTTCGTTAAAAGGAATGAGATAAAATGCTGAAACGAGTGAGACAGTTATTTGTGTTTTTGAAAAATGCTTAGAGATATCAAGTGCCAACATACACAGAGCTAAACTCATCAGTTCATAATTCATAGCTTCTGAGATCATGAATTTTAAAGTCTGCTGTGGGATGGCAGCATTCTGAAATTAGGAAATTCTAATGTATTTTGTAGAGCATTTTTGATATGGAATAAAAAAAAGTATGTGGCTTCTTGTCTCACATTCTTCTCTAATATTTGAGATTTTTAAAACTTCTCCATGACTCATACCCAGCAGTTTTAAACATGTGCATTTTAGTAGCTAATGGGCAAGTTCAGTCATAGCACTTAAAACTGTCCGTTTCTCCCCCTCTGCTTTCCCACTTCTTATTACTTCGAATAAGTCCTAAGAGCCTTCTATCACCAAATTTTGCTTTTCTTGATAGATGAATTTTAAAAAGTGCCTTTTTCTTTTACAACTTGCTGTGCTGACTAATTCTGGCTATTCCAACCTTAATAATGCTCCAGGACTCTAACCTGTATGCAGCTTTTGCATGTGGCTGCTGTGGAGAACTGTAAGGCAGATTTTCCTAGCCTGCTCTTCTTACATTTGACAGCAGTCCATGAATGACTCCATGCTGTAGAAGGAATATTGAGCAACATGAGGGGGAAAAACCTCTTTTGAATGACAGAGAAATCATCTCTATCACAGAAATCATAGGCAGCTTGTGTTGGGCTTCATATCAGTCCTCCTTTGGTTTTTTTTCCTTCTGCTAACAATATACCTGAAATGATTTTATGAGTTAATGTTCAAGCAGCCAATTTCTACTTAGAGATCCATTTCAGAGCATAGAATTCAGGAAAAAGGTAGGAGGGAAACCCTGATTAGAGGGCCAAGAACATATTTTAAACTAGTAACTTTGGGTACCAATATCAAGAGAAAGATAAAATGACAGAGGGTATGAATTTGATTTTAGTGGTGATCTTTGCCTCCTACCTACCTGCCACCACAGATGGTATTTTAACTAAAACACAACCCTATCCCGAGGAGCCAAAAGGCAGTAGCTTGGCAAGTTTGTTCTGCTATTTCGGGCTCTGGAAGTGGAGTACAGCAATGGGTGTGTGCAGACATAGACAGAAGGCTGTATATCCAGTCTAGCAGAGGGCGTGCCTGCTCAATCATTCACAGGGGAGCAGAGTGTGGAGAAAGAGCAGCTGTCAGCAGAGGACCGTATGGCAAGGCGGACTCCCTGAGATTCTATACTCCACTGAGATTATTTTGCTGCTGTTTGCTGTTTTTACCTTACTTTGTTTTTTAAAGTTTCAAAGGATAGGCAGGTGACATTCATCTTGGAACCACCATCTGCAACCATGCTTCACTCTCCACTGAAAACCGCACTGGCATATGAGTGCTTCCAAGATCAGGCCAATTCAACTTTAGCTTTGCCTTCAGACCACAAATTAAAAACAAGAGGGACAGGAAAACAAAGGGTCCAGGAACAGGTGATGATGACCGTCAAGCGGCAGAAGCAAAAGTCCTCCCTTTCATCAGCATCAAATGCGGCAGGTCACTCCAACCGAGGTAAATATCAACTGTTGTGATGAATAAGAAGGGATGCTGGCTGGGGTATGATAAATTTAGCTAATGTGGTCACTCCGCAGAATGCCATTGCATATTTTAGGATAATTAGAATTCACACAAACACTTTAAGTAGTTGCTTTTGGCTTTTCCTGAAGAATTGTGTGATGAACATTGGAGGAAAATCTTGTCCTGTTTGGTAGGATGAGCGTACACATAAGAGTGCTTTGCAGTTTAATGTTTGTGATGTTGCAGAAGCTCCAAAGCAGCTCCGGTTAAATTTATTGAGGCTGAAAGTTTCAATCTGGACTGCACAAGGTGATTTTGAGTGTGACTAAGAGCAGGTACTTCTGTTTGAAATAGAAAATTGGGAAAACCAAAATCTTCTTAACTTTTTCAATATCAAGGTTCTGTGATACTATTGTTCTTTGGCTGGAATGTAACCAATTGGAGACTTAAAGGCACAGTTGGACTAGTTAAGCTCTTCTAGATCCTACCAACTTCAACAAAAGAATAAAGCATTTTCAAGTTTAATATTCTCCATTAAAGTTAATAAAGATGTAATGCATAATTTTATTTCAGTCTTAGGTTCTGAGACTATCTGTGATTTCAATTGGACTTTAAATTTGTTCATGTTTACATGGGAAAAGTATGTGTATATAGAAAAGTTGTATAGTTGCATCTCTATAGTAGTAGATAGTCAGATTAGATGATTTTGATGTTATTATTTCTTTGGATTACCCTCTAAATACTTTTTAACATTCCATTCATGAAGGCATTTTATATCTTATATTTTGTGTCTATTATTATGAAACACAATCTGTAAAACCACAGGGGGAAAGCTTTATTGCCCAGAAAGCACACAATTAATAATAGTCTGTACTGTTCTTTGTGTGTGTGTGCGTGTGTCTCTTCCTAATTATAGACCAAACCTGAAAACCTGGTCTTTGCTTCCCAGACTCCTGACAGTTATGATTAGACTTGGAAATGTAAAGTCAAATTCTGGTGCACATTAACACATTGTCTCCTGTAATTTGAAGCTGTGAAGTTTCATGGTTCCAGGCTTTTTCTTTTAAAGTATGCATTTAAAATATAAATTTTAAATTTTAAAATAATTTTTAAAATATGTATTTATGGCAGTGCATTGTCCTGATTCAAATATATATTTATAAGGTAATATAGATTTTCAACACTCAAGTTGTGAAGAGCTTTTGCTTAAGTCTTTTCACACTGCTTACCACAAACACAAAATTAGAATAAGCAATAGTGTTAATTGAAATCCTAGCAAAAGGCAGCCGGTTTAATGTTAGGATAAAAGATTGCTGATGATCCTCAGGGAAAGCCAACAAGATACTATTTTCTATACCACATGACTGTTAACTGAATAAAATAAAGATTGATAACATTTGTCTAAATGTGGGATTGGCTATCTTCTCAGACTTGAGAGTTTTTTGCTTGCCAGAGCAAATGGGAATTTATTTTTTTTGAAAAGGAAAACCAAGAATCAATGCCTTTTAAGGTTTGAAGATGATTAGTCATCTTATTACTTAATTTTCAGGATTTTTCAAAACAATTCAGCCATTCTCTTTGAAAAACAATTTGATCTTTATTCAAATCATTTTGCAGATGGAGAGCTCTGATTTTAAATCTTATTTGTGCCTGATCTCTCAATACTGCTACTCTACATTCAGTACAAAATATGCTGGATCTTCTGCAGCTATAGGTTCAAATAATGCTTCCTCAGAATAATATATTCCACTCAATAGTGTGTTTCCTGAAATATAAAACAAGGAATTTCTGATTAAACAGTCTATGGTAGGCCTTGGGTTCTCTATGGTTGTTTTAGTAAGCTGGATCATAGTATTTAGAAGATTTTTTTTTTGTTCAAGAGCCAATTCTGTTGATTTAGAGAACAAAGCTTTTTTTAAAAAAGATTCAATATCTTTGCTGAAGCAGAAATAACTTCTGAAGAAAATTTAATTGCTAAATAGCATAAAAATATGGGGAAGTAGCAATTCAGCAAGACATAGATGAAGAATGGAATTTCTTGAATTGTTTTGCTTTTTCATTTCATAGATGCTACTTTTGCCTGTGAACTCTTTATTTTGGCTAAAAAAACTAATAGAAATATCATTTTGCTCTTAGTAGTTGCTCTACATTCAGTGAAACTTCCCAGCACTTTTATTGGGAATGTGGCAGTTTCATATCACCATTCATTCAACAGCGTATTAATCCCAAACTGGAAAAAAATGTGATTTATTCTGGTTATGAATATCAAACATATTATTATTATTTTGTTATTATTCTGGATGAGCAACAGTGAAGGATTGTAGACAGAATCAAATATCAGGTGTTGTCAGCCTTGGCTTTGGGTGGCCGGATTATCTCTGAGCTTACCTTTTGATGTAATATTGTGTCAGATAGCAAAATTACACACAACACAGATTCTTTCTTCTTCTCTCCCCCCACCCCACCGCTCTCTTTAAAATGAGTAATAGGCTTTGAAAGCTAAAATCAGAAGGAAGGCTCCTTAATCTAAAACAATCCTTTGGTTGCTCCACTGAAATTGTGAAAATCACTTTCCCAGTTTCTTTTCTCCCTGGCCTGGTATGTTAAAAGAGGGGATCCATGCATGTTTACCCATGGGGACCTAAACAGGGGTTGTGGGATAGGGTGGGAAATGATTTAAATAGCTCCAATCTCATCACTAGTCAACCTACAACTACCATATACCAGTGTTGTGAATCACCAACATTGGGTGCTTGTCAAGGACCACGCATTGATTCCTTGTTGATCCTGGAAACCTTCTGTTTTTTGGTGTGCATCCTTCAACAGATTGCCATTATCTGATTTCTGTTTCTTCCCAACCTGCATAGATAAATGTTGACCTAACTCTGAGAGTTCCCCCAAATCTGGATTTAGGATTCTAAAAAAAAAGGACTGAAAAGGGAGAGAGTGGGGAGGGAGGGAGGAAGAGAGAGACAGACAGACCAACCAACAGAGAAACAGAGACAGAAACAGAGACAGAGAGGGATGGAGAGGGAGACAAAGAGAGAGAGTGCACTCTATAGTACAGTACTTATTTTCAGCTTTTTTAGAGGACATTTTGATGTCTTATCTATAGAATCCTAGTTACCCAGTTAAAAGCCATTTGGGAGCACAATTAAATAATTATAATCTGATATCACAACAAGGACACTTCTTTTAGTAAAGTTTCCAGTACATTTTATAAAGCATATTTGGAAGATGTTGGGAGAGAAGTATTATTCTAATGCTTAGTCACATAATAAACTTACAATTTTTATCTCAGTTGGAAAATTGCAGATAATTTGGGGGGTGGGGGGTTGGAAATAGAATGTTGTGAACTAAAGAGTATTTAGACTTCAGAACAATTTATTTACTTATTTGATTTATTTGATTTGTCAATCGCTTACAAGATAATAGGTATAAATATAAACATAGTTATGAATACATGAAATGGCCACATATAAGAAAAATAAAAAGAAACAATAGGACAGGGAAGGTAGGCACGTTGGTGCGCTTATGCACGCCCCCTACAGACCTCTTAGGAAAGGCGTGAGGTCAATAGTAGACAGTCTAAGGTTAAAGTTTTTGGGTTTGGGGAAGAAACCACAGAGTCAGGTAGAGTATGTCAGACATTGACCACTCTGTTGCTGAAGTCGTATTTCCTGCAATCAAGTTTGGTGCGGTTTACCTTGAGTTTGTATCTATTGTTTGCTTTTGTATGTTATGGTTGAAGCTGAAGTATTCATTGACAGGTAGGACATTGTAATGTATGATTTTATGTACTATACTTAGATCAGACTGAAGAGGGCATAGTTCTAGGTTTTCTAGGTCTAGAATTTCAAGTCTGGTGGCATAAGGTATTCTACAACAAGTACAGCAGTGGAGAACTCTTCTTGTGAAATATTTCTGGACTTTCTCAACTGTCTTAATATCAGATATGTAATGTTGGTTCCAGACTGATGAGCTGTTTTCAAGTATTGGTCTAACAAATGTTTTGTATGCTCTAGTTCGTAGTGTAACGTTACCAGAGAAAAAGCTACGTAAGATTAACAACTCTTAATGCCTTTTTGGCTATGTAGTTACAGTGGGCTCTAGCACTTAGATCGTTAGAGATGAGTACTCCAAGATCCTTGACAGAGTTTGGATCATCAAAGAAGGTCTTGACTATTCAGCTTGTATTTTATTTTCTGACATTTTTTTTGCCAATATGTAAAACAAATTAATTGCCAATCACATCTTTAAATTATTTGTCCTATTGCAAGAGTAACTTAGATTGTCAAAATCTATGAAATACTGAGTATAGGTATATATGTATATGTAATTTATATATACACCCAGATGCACACTGATATATATAAAATGTTTGATTTCTTAATTTGTTCCAGAAACACGACCAGTGTCTGGAATTCTCCAGTTATTAGGAAAGTGTTTCAAAATATCCAAGTCTACATTTTTTATTGACAATTAAGGAGTTAATTTTTTTTCATTATTTGCCAGAACTTTAAAATGATCAGTTGGAATAGCCTACATAATAATGAAAACCAATAAATCACTTTTTAAAATGTTCAATGTTTTTCAGATGATCTTAAAATAAGCTTAATTCAGAAAAAGATTTGTTTCATGTCTATTGGCAACCTCAGAAAATGTTTCTAAAGGGCTTCAAATGCTAGAAATACAAAATGATTGTGGGAGTACCACCACAATATAATATGGGTTTATCCCACTATTATCCCATGTAGCTTTAATATTCATTTAGATAGTCAAAGTGTTTTGGGGAAATAAAAATACGATTTAAAGATATGACACTATGAATTATATATAAAAGACTTTGTCAGTGTAAGGAGAGTTGTGGCTCCTGAGCAAAAAGTAAAAATAAACATTTTTTACAATAGACAAATACTGCTGCCCCAATATACAATGTGGTTCACATTGTGCTCAGGGTCTATCTACTAGCATAATGAAAAGGCACATGAGTA